GCGATATATCGTATCGTGACCCCTCTGTCATGATATGTATCGTATCGCCAAATTCTTGCCAATACACAGCCCTACTGATTACAAACACAAGCGTGAGCTTTTAAAGATACGTTTTCCCTGTAATACTATGGTCCACAGCTGTCACCTCCTCATCAAGAGGAAAAAGGATAAAAACTAACTACTCTATCGTACCTGCTGGTTAGTGGACACAACGACACACAACAGAACTCAYGTTTTATACCAGTAGATCACAGATGCTTTAACTTTTGTGACTTTTTCACAGACTAGTACTAGCAGCTAACGCTAAAAACAAAGGCAGGAAGTGGAAGGGATGTGCGTGGCGTCATTAATGATGGTGACATATAGGCTGTTACATAAAGACGTTTCTAAAATTTATGAATAATATTAGTAACAAAACTAAATGATTATTTCACACATTTAACATGCTAAGAACAGTTTCAGATGTTTACATACCGTTTGGTTCGAGCTGCTCAAAGCTTTGTTTCCGCTGAGCGTCACTGGATGTAAATCTACGGCAAGCCAGGAGTGACACAACACGGAAGCGCGCAGCTTCATCACAGACAACACCCATGGGGAAAATCGATCTCATGACTTGTGAAACAATTTTCCCACATTTGAAGGAAATCGATCCAGATTGATTAAATTGATTTTTTTTTAACCYGGCCCTATCAGCACTAGCYTCCGCCGTTTGTTTGAGCTAACGCTAACAGGAGGAACTCCCGTCTGCTTGCAGGTCAATGCCATCTGCTACGGGGCGAAGATTTTACTTCCTGGCATCCTGCGGTACGAAGACGGCATCGAGGTGAACCAGGACATCGTGGTGATCACGTCGAAGGGCGAGGCCATCTGCACAGGTGAGGCRTGTTYGTGTGCGAGCGCCACGTCGCCACATGATGAGAGGAGTAGATGCAGCAGCTCTCGGGCCGTGATGACCGACATCTATCACCCTTTTCTGATGGCTCCCCCTCCCCCTCCTGACCTGCTGACCCTCAGGCTGCAGGTACTCACGGCTCTTTCTGCTCTCTTGCAGCCGTCGCCCTGATGACCACAGCAGTCATCTCCACCTGCGACCACGGCGTCGTGGCCAAGATCAAGAGGGTCATCATGGAGCGGGACACCTACCCACGGAAGTGGGGTCTCGGCCCGAAGGTGGGGCTGCAGCTGTTTGTCACTTTAAACCAGCGGTTCACAAACTTTTTATCTCCTGACCCACAAAATATCCACGGCAAAAACCTGTGACCCCAAATATTACTGGTCTGAGTACTGAGTACACGAACTTTGTTGCTAATCCTAAAAACAAAGACTTTACACTAGTATTGTTAAATATAAAGACTTTTTTATACTTACCGTATTTTATTCAAGTATAATACGTAAAATTAAATCCATAAAGTTGGTGTGTAGTACTATACTCAGATAAATATTTTTACTTATGTATTTTAACTGAAATACATTCACAAAATTGAGTCCGGAAATGAGACCGCGTCGTAAAAAGCAGTTGAAGCGAGCTCACCTCTGACACTCCTGTGCTTCAGAGTGAGGTACTAACAGATCCAGGCAGGAGACATGATGTGAAAAAAGGGGATAACAAACTAATGACATTAGTGTGTGACCGAGCCGCTCCTGGAACAACAACAAACATGTTGGTCTGTAATGGCTGCCGTCTGCCGGTGTTCTGATAAAGTTTGTATCCCTGAGAAGGTGGGATCAGTTTCCAAACGTGGCCAACGGGCTGCGGCGGCGAATTCCCTGCGCGAGCCTGTCAAACAGAACCAACACAGCCG